ATATATATAGGAAGTAGGCTTACTCAAATCGTCGTGGCCCCTTGAAGCGAGATCACTTCTTGTCTTACGTGATTGATCTTCAAGGACATGCATACCCACACTTGACACAACACTTACAATCACAGTGCATACAGGGGAATAATTATCTAAGCTTATGATCGAAGCTAGAACTGTATTGGAGACCTCATTGAACGCCAGCGATATCACAGCCGATAATAATCGCAGTGCAAATGTTTTTTTTTCCAGCTAACTTGCAAACACTCTCGTCGCGCGGGCTTGTTTACAATTCGAATTATACTAAACCTTACTTTTAAACACTCTCGTATGCTTTAATTTAGTTCTTTTTGTTATATTCTATTTTTCAGCCTTAGTTTTGAAACTGCTAACAATATACTGCACTAAGTATAAACGTTTTTTTATCTATACAATAGTTTTAATGCCTCATCCATTTTTCTACGAAACCGTAAATAGTGGTTGACAAATAGTCAAGAGCGTTGTTACTACCTCTGCTCTTTAATATAAGAAATTCTACTCATGTTTCCTTGTCCCCATAATATAATTAGGTTTCCTTTGAAGCAAAGGAATTATAGAGGAGTTCCTTAGAGGAATTTTCTAGGATTTAAATTATATAGGAATTTTTCATATTTGATCTTTTGAAACAAAGGATTGCAGTTCTTCAAATCCTATGAAATTATTAAGAGCAAGTTTAATAGTATAGCCCACTACTAGCTCCAAATCATCTATAGCCAATGTAATAACTAATTCATATAATAGTTGCTTACTATACTATTAATACTTGGTCCCACATGTCATACACACATTACATCTTGGAGTCCGTGCTGCAGCTGGCTACAGACCTGTAGCCCGCTGCTCTTCTCTCTCTTCCTTTATCTCTTTAAAATATGTTTATAGCTGGCTTATAGCCTGCTATTGTACCTGCTTTAAGGATTGACTCATGCATATAGATTTTGGAGAAAAGTTAGCACCAACCTTTTTGAAAATTTTCTATGGGTCTATCTCTCTCATTCAATCCCTGCATTTTTTCTATGGTCTATTCAAATAATCATTCGTGTGTTTCGCACTTATATTCTGGTGAAAATCCTATAATTTTTATTCCTCTCTTTTCTTAATCGTACGATACAAAGGTTCCCTAAGGCCCCGTTCGACGTAATGGCGGATAAAGATTAAGTACAAGCAAGTAAAATGAGAAACCATTAGCACATGATTAATTAAGTTCTATAAAAATAATTATTATAAACTTGAAAATAAATTTATTTGATATTTTAGAGAAAATCTATATAAAATTTTTTTTCACAAAATGTACCGTTTAGCGGTTTGAAAAGAGTGCTAACAAAACCAAGCTAGAATCTACTCCTTCCATTCACAAATGATAATCATATAATTTTTTCAATGTTATTCAGAAATGATTGGCATATTCGGTACTTCCTATGTGTGACTTTTTCGTTTTTCTGTGCACTACTAAATTATCATTTGTATGCATTGTTCAATATTGTACTATTCAACCAAATGCAATTTTGGTGCATGCAAGCAATACTGTTGGTGTAAATTGCCCTTGATGCATGTGCGAGAGACAACAATCGGTGTTGTATGTTAATTGATGTCAATTTAAGAGACATGTGGGGGTGTATTGGTAAGAAAAGCTAAGAGCAAGTTTAATAGTATAGCCAATTACTAGCTTCAAATCATTTATAGTCAATTTAGTAGCAAATTCGTACAATAGTTATCTATAAATATATATTAAACTATTAATATCTGGTCCCACCTGTCATACTAACGTTGCGTCTTGGAGTTTGTGTTGTAGCTGGCTACAAATCTATAGCCCACTGCTTATCTCTATCTTCTTTTATCTTCTCGATATGTGTTTATAGCTGGCTTATAGTCTATTATTGTACCTGCTCTAATAACTTTCTCGTAGTATATTTACTCCCACAACAAACCTGATGCATGCACCATCCCCACCATTTTCTAGCAAATAGTAAATCAAGGTATTGCATGTTGGTTATAAATACTTGTGTGCATGAATACATGCATCAATGTCCATTTAATGCACAAATAACGAATAGACTTAGGGCCTGTTTAGATCAATTTGTTGTGGCAATTTTTTTTGGCAAAAGTTTTGGTGGCAAAAGATTTGGCATTGAAGTTTTGTTAGTTGGTGTTTAGATACATGGTAAAGTTTTGCCATTTTACTAGTAAAGATAGAGAGAGCACGGCTCCCAACGTACTTTTTGGCAAAATTTGCTACTCTAGACTCCTAAATGATAAATGCTAAATTGCCAACTTTTGCTACTAGGTTTTGATCCATTTTGGCAAAAAGTGCTCAAAAACAGCAAAACTTTTGCTCTTTTGGAGGAACTAAACAGAGCCTTAATGAATGACCATAAAATAAATATGATGATTATTTAGAAATAACCTCAAAAATGTTATAAGATGATCATTTTGAAAGAGAGGGAGTCTCCCGGTCTCCTTCGCGCAAGTGAAAATAAAAACTTTGGATGGAAATGGTTTAAATATGACATGGTGAAATGTAAGGACATATTAATGGTTGAAATATATATAAAAATATGTACTACGTTCGAGTATTTTGTAGTGCACTCTAAAATATTTGCGACTGTTGGCTTCTTTCTCATTCTCTTCCGGAGCAGCGCTCACTTGCTTGTTCATTAATGCGCAATCTTTCCGTAGGTGGAACAAGTCAACTGAAAATAACTGCTAGTACAACGTGAGTAGTACATCTTACCTGTGAATGCTCCAGGCTTTACTCGGGCTGTGCGCGCTAGCGGATGTTCCCAACCGGAACAGAGTGCAAAAAAACAGAGCGGTCTATTAGCACGTGATTAATTAAGTGTTAGCTAATTTCTTTTAAAAAATAAATTAATTTGATTTTTTAAGCAACTTTTGTATAGAAACATACAAAAGTTTTTGAAAAAAACGCACCGTTTAATAGTTTGAAAAGCGTGCGTGTGAAAAACGAGAGAGATGTGTTGGGAAAAGGGGATGCCGAACAAACCCTCAAAAACGATATTTGATTATACTTTTACTATAATATATATACTTGATATTTAATTTGTTACTATTTAGTATAATATAGTTAATATTTAATTTGTTACGATAATTTTTCTAAAACACAGTTCAAACACATATACACACTTTTTATTTCCAATAGCACTTCTGAATTGGGTTGTGTATATTCATTGTGGATATAGAGACTGGATTTTAATCCATTTTCTTAAAAAAAAGCACTTCTAAAAGACGAGTTGGCATATTTTAAAATTAACGAAGTCATTTTGGACACATCGTTGTCGATAATTGTCAGTTATCATTGAAATAATAATTAGTCACAAATACGAGCCTCATTTCAAGTCGGAACACACCCATAAATACATGAAGCAGCTCCTTTGAAGCGAGGTTAGAGAAAGTAACGTGAATCCTTGACAGGTGGGGTCCACTCCTATGGATCCACAAGTAAGAGAGGCACATCCATCTAAGAGCAAGTTTAATAGTATAGCCAATTATTAGCTCAAAATTATCTATAATCAATTTAATAGCCAATTCATATAATAGTTACCTATAAACATGTACTACAAAATTAATGTATGGTCGCACCTGTCATACACACATGTATCTTGCAGTCTGTGCTGAAGCTGGCTACAAATATGTAGCTCGTTGCTCTTATCTCCCATCTTTTATCTGCTTAAAATATGCTGTTGACCTGTTGTACATGCTCTAACGTACTTTAGAGGAGCCCCATCGCGGAAGTACAGGTTCCCAACTTTTACTCTCACATTTTTTACGTGCATACTTCCCAAGTTGTTAAATTGTGTGTTTTATACCAAAATTTTCCATAGAAAAAATGCTTTAAAATTTATATTAATCTTTTTTGTGTTTTTATAGCAAATACTTAATTAATCATGTACTAACCGAAAATTTCCTCTGAGTTTCATCGCTCTTAAATTTCTGTGTTTTTACTGCGATATAATCAAATGGGCATTTCTATTCCTTTATTTTCTCAATCTCAAGTTTTTAAGGAGCATGTGACATGATTGGTGAGATCCTATAAAATGGTAGTATTATTTATGCACCTGGATTCTAAAAGGAAAATAATTAAAACATAGGAGTTTCCCCTTTGAGAAGTCTAATCCACTCTTTCATCCCCTCTCTACTTCCTTTGTTTTCCTCGAGTAACTTCCAGTCATGTGCTTTGATTTGCTTGGAATCGTCCAAAGACATTACCTCAATTTTTCTTATGTTTTAAAATCCTGTGTATTCTAAAGAGAATGATGTTCGTTTAGGGCTATTGAAAAAAAGAGGAAAAATATAGGATTTTAACCGCTACTACAAGAGCAAAACAATGAGTTTCAAAACCTGACAAATCACATAGAAATGATAGTTTGATTAGACTGTAGAAAAAAAAACATAGAAATAAAATGAGATAGACTTGAAGAAATTTTCTAAGAGAATGGTTAGGCTCACTTTTCAATAAATTCTTTAAAAATGCGCATTCCAAAGGGAACAACATGTTTCAGTCATTTATTTTGAAGACCTTAATAGGAATTTTTCTAATAAAATTAAAATCCTCCGATTTTTCTATAAATCGAAGAAGACCTTCCTTTAAAAAAACCTTAATATATGCTTTTTAGTACGAGTACTCCCTCCATACTCGTATTAGAAGTCGTTTAGAACAATGTTTAAGTCAAACCTTAGAAATATATATCATGAATAACTCTCGAGTTCTTGAATTTGAAAATGTAAAAATTATATTAATATACATATATCATTTTTCAATAAATATTTTTATAGAAACCAAAAGTCAAAATTATGTTTTGGAGACCACGTCGCTGTGCAAAACGATTTTATGAGTACAGAGGGAATATTCCTGTATTTCCTTTTACAATTATGGAGTACGTTTCGAAACAAGTGGGCCATCTCAAACGAAACTGGTCGTATGTGCACATCACCCCAAAACCCTCAGAAAATTTGCGCACCGCCCACTCCACCAGTCCACTCCCGGCCCAAGAAAGCCATGCTCAGGCCAGTGTGCTCAAGAAAGGGGCGCGCAGCGAGCTCGCGACTACTCACTCTCAATCCTTTGGGAAATGGAGCTGCTCAGTGGCTCAGTGGCCGCAGCTCCGGGAAGCGGAGGCTACCGAGAGCAACCGGACCACGCCAAGAAGCACTAGCTAGTGTACTGCCTCCTCGATCTTGCTCTATCTACCACTAGCATCGAGCTTGCTTCGCTAGCTCCTGTATATTTAAGGCCGTAATAAGTGTAAACACAGCACCAATAGTCCAACACAGATACTAGTAGTAGTGTGGTAAAAGGGTGAACTGAAGACCAAGAGGCAAAGGCGCCTGTGAGGCTGTGACTGAGAAGGTAGGAGTAGGAGAAGAGAAGCTTTGGGCGCCGCCATGGATGCATACGAGGCGACCAAGGTGGTGTTCTCCCGGATCCAGGCGCTGGACCCTGACCACGCCGCCAAGATCATGGGCCTCCTGCTCATCCAGGACCACGGCGACAAGGAGATGATACGCCTCGCCTTCGGCCCCGAGGCGCTGCTCCACAGCGTCATGGCGCAGGCGCGCAAGGAGCTCGCCCTCCTGCCGCCGCCTCAGGCGGCGTCGTCGTCGCCCACCGTGCCGGCAGCCCACTCGCCGTTCCTGCTGTCGAGGCAGAACTCCGGCCGCTGCCCCGCGCCGTCGCCGTCGTCGTGGGCGCAGGCGCAGCCGTTCTCGAGGAGTAACAGCATGGGCAATGGCGGCGCCGCGGATGAGATGGTCGGCGCTGGGGAGGAGCTAATGAGCCCCTTGAACGGCGGGGGAGGCGCCGCGGCGAACGCCCCGCCCTTCTTTCCTCGGGGTGGGGACGCGCTCCTGGACGACTTCGAGCTGCAGGAGCAGCTCGCGTTCCTGCACGACGGAGCCGGGGGCGTGAACCCCGGGCATGCTCTCCAGGCGTTCGACGGAGCGGAGTGCCGGAGCCCCGGCCCCGGCGAGAGCGGCGGGATGCTCCCCTACGGCCTCGCCTGGGCCAACGGCGGCCCTGGGCACCGCCGCAGCGCGTCGGTGAACGAGCTCTGCCTCGGCGGCGACGGCTTCGGGTGGAAACCTTGCCTGTACTACGCGCGCGGGTTCTGCAAGAACGGCAGCACCTGCAGGTTCGTCCATGGCGGCCTCTCCGACGACGCCGCCATGGACGCAACCACCGCCGAACAGCAGCAGTGCCAGGATTTCCTCCTCCGCTCCAAGAGCCAGCGCCTCGGCCCCGCCGCCTTCCCGTTCACCCCCACAGGCTCTCTCCCTGCCTCGCCATCCGCCACCAGCAAGTGCCTCAGCCTCCTCCTGCAGCAGCAGCAGCAGCACAACGACAACCAAAGGTACTACCGCCTTCGCAACCTCCATGCGTTCTCCAAGCCAGAAGGCATTTCAAAGTTCCAAAACGTTTCTTGCTTGCGCGTGTGAAGAGCCGCCGCGGCCGCGCTGATGCTCGCCGGCGGCGACGAGGCGCACAAGTTCATGGGGCGGCCGCGCCTGGACCGCGTCGATTTCGCCAGCATGATGAACCCCGGGTCGCGCCAGATTTACCTCACCTTCCCGGCCGACAGCACGTTCCGCGAGGAGGACGTCTCCAACTACTTCAGGTATATAATGCGATGTTGCAATGATGCTTCTTCCTTCTTTCATGGCGGGCTCGGTAGGACGCGATCTGATTGGCATTTTTGCATTGCTGTTCTTGGCAACGCGCCGCGCTGCAGCATCTACGGGCCGGTGCACGACGTGCGCATCCCGTACCAGCAGAAGCGCATGTTCGGGTTCGTCACCTTCGTTTACCCGGAGACGGTGAAGCTGATCTTGGCCAAGGGCAACCCGCACTTCATCTGCGACGCCCGCGTGCTCGTCAAGCCCTACAAGGAGAAGGGCAAGGTCCCCGACAAGTACAGGTACGTTCGAAACGCGGCTTGAATGAAGAAATGCATGCGCGATTATGTTAAGCGCTCCAAATTAGTAGTAGTAGTATACTACTACGTTGCTTGTCACGACTGCTAGCCACCAACCTGCATGCATGTGAATTTGTTGTTCGTCGCTCCTCAGGAAGCAGCAGCAAGGCGATTTCTGCTGCATGTCGCCCACGGGGTTAGACGCCAGGGACCCCTTTGATTTTCACCAGCTCGGTATAAAAAGATTCAACCTTTACCTGCTCCTACCATTTGGACGCCCTGTTTGCCTGATGTTCAATGTTGCTTGCTAGAGCTGTAAGTTTTGATGGATGTTGGTTTGGTGTTCGTCAGGTGCAAGGATGCTGCAGCACTCCAACAGCGCGAACGAGCTAATGCTGCGGCGGAAGCTCGAGGAGCAGCAACAGGCGGCGGAGCTGCAGCAGGCTATTGATCTCCATAGCCGCCGCCTCATTGGCCTCCAGCTGCTCGACCTCAAGTCTTCTGCCGCTGTCCATGCGGCGGAGACGACAACAATGTCTCTGCCCACTCCGATCACCAATGCCTTCACCTCCGGCCAACCCGGTGCCACCACAATCGTCGAGTCACCGCCTAGCTCTAGTAAGCATAGATAGCATTGATCGAACTCGTTCTTTAGACGTCAATCAATCAAGTTCTCTTAACTTGCCAATATCCACTGTACATTGTCAGCTGGGCAACTGATGGCGAGCTGCGGCTCTCCATCGGAGGGGAAAGTTGTCAATGGTGGTAATAAGGCGGATTCTGCCGGTGAGGTTACCCGCAATGCCGATAGTGACCAAAGGTAGATTTTTACCATTATTGGCATTCTGCTTGCTCATGATTCTCAGACTAATGTCATTAACTCATGAACAACAAGCCTACAAATCTGCAATTATTCCGTGGCTGAAAGTTTGCTTCACCATTGTTTGTGCATGTATTTTGAGCAGTGGTGAGCACAACTTGCCAGACAGCCCGTTTGCTTCCTCTACCAAGTCGACCGCATTCTTTACCGCAACCGCTGCCACTGCCATTGGTAGCGAGGGAGATTTCACCACCGGTAGTAGCTGCAATATTGGTGGCAGTGCGGTCGGCAGCGCCAACCCTCTCCGGCCTCCCACATTGGACATACCTTCGCCAAGGACCTGCTTCTTCCCCATGCCCAGGTTTGGCCATGCCACTACTTTGAGCAGTTGATTACTACTTGATTGTACTGGTCATTTCGTGATCACTTGCGATTGGAATGATTCGATCAAATGCAATGAGCAGGCTGTCCGAGCACGGGGCGATCGGGATGTAAAGTAGTCCACAATGGAAGTGGCTGAAACCCTCTCCAGAAATCATAGTAAGCACTGCTTTATTCCCACTACGTTTCCCAATTATTAGGCTTCTACCCATCTAATTATGCTGCCATTTTTGCGTTCTTTCTTTTGGTGTTTATTTCTGTGCAGGAATACATGAAGCAAAGAAAGTGTTATCGGAATATAGGGGAAAAAAGGAGTGGAGTGTCAGCGTAGTTTTTAGGATGTTTAGCTCCCCTTTCTTTTCGTTTTTAAGCTTCTCTCACCTTTTAGTGGATAGCTCCATTAAACAACACGAGAAGAAGAAGATGCCATTAGCCCTTATGGAAGAAAAAGTGGCAGCATATGAAGTATTGTGATATACTACTATATATAATACTACTCTATATATATATAAATAATTTAGTGGTGCGCCTAATTATACTAGAGAATATAGTACTATGTGGCAGTTAGCAGTTATTTTGTTTACTACTGCCATCAGACAATTGATGTTGTTACCCAGTTCTTCCATGTATAACAACTACTCGTATATTATACTGATTCTGTGGTTAATCCTGGAGGCAAGTGCCTGCCACACGTTCACATGTTTAGCAACAGTACTACCTGCAAGCTGTAAGAGTGTCATATGTGGACAGCAGGACAGGGGTAGCCCAGAAACTGACGAAGGGCACATGGCCATTGCAGTGGTCTCTGAAGCTTTTTACTGGCCGCAAGGTCCTACTTGGCCGTGCGGTTACATCAGGTGATTATGGTGAGATAACAGATCAGTGTCTCCCACTTACCCCCCACTGTTTTGCTTAAACTCAACATGTGGTTGTTAAACTCAACCTGTGATTGTTATAGTACGACATTACGACATTACTGTGAATAGATGCTATTCCCACTACAGCAAAACAGGCAACTAGAGACGACTAAAATACTACGGGTCATCAAACCGTTGCTACTAAACTATCCCAACGTACGTGCGAGAAATCCCCCCTCACCTAGAGTCGGATAAAAGAGACGGAGAGATAAACCGTGGCTACCTCCCCACTTAACTGCACCCACCATCATAATATCCTTTAAAATTATTAATTAATCGGATAATCACTATTTATTTTTGGAACTGCTCGGTACAATCGTTGGTCTATCGAAACCCTCGACGGAGTCGCACGCCGCCGCGCGCCCGCTCCAGATCGCCGGTGTGCCTCCTCCACCACCATCGCGCGCCACCGCTGACCACCGCCGCTCCGGTCCTACACTCTCGCTTCTCCTTTCTGGCCGTTGCTGCCTATCGCCACTGCGCTGCCACTCCATTGCAGCCACCACGGCGCGGTTCAGATCTTGCGAGTCGCTAGGTAGATGAACACGTGGGGAGCAGATTTGTGGAGGGATGAGACTCTGATTTTTGGCTGATTCAGAGTATGATCCCCTGATTGGCTGATTGAAAGTGCTAGCACGACGGATTGACCTACCGTGAGGAATCAGATCGAGTTGCACAGCTTCATCAAAGAAAAGGTAATTTCATTGTTCTCCCTTTCTATTGAGAATCCACATAGGTATACATTGGTTTAGGACGATTCGTGATGAACATCTGGTTTGGTGTGCTTTGGTAGTTTTAATTTGCATTCATTGGGACTGTGGTTAGAGGCCATTGTTCTTAATGATCTTTCTTTCCTGAAAAGTTAGGTATGTTGTTCAAGGTTGTCAACATTACTGCATTCAATGTAAATCTAGTTTCGGGAAAATGAACTGAATCCCTTAATTTCTTAAGTTCAAAAAGGGCACAACAGATATACACATATATATATTGACTTTGATTGCTTTCATATGCTTCCTACCTTAATGCAGGGTTTCTGTTAGCAGACTAGCTAGAGGGATGGCTTTTGCTGCTATTTGACACATATGCGATTATCAATTCTCAGGAACTTCAGTTACTGCTGAAGCACCTCCATGTTACTACTAGCAAGGTGAGGTTGATTAATTCCCAATAAAATATTATGCATATATGATTGCTAACTTACATGTTGCCTTATCATGAGAAATGATATCAACTCTGCACTTGTTGTCAATATATATTTTGTTTCACTGTATATCCAATGCAGGACATTATTAATCATGTTTCACTATTCTTTTGCTTTTCCTTAGCAGATCAAAAGACGATTTCTTTTGTAGACTTCACTACAAGCTGAACCTGGAAACTCCGTGATATACTTGATGATTGAAAGGCATATTCCTTTGCATCCATGGTGCTTCTTGTATGACATAATTTTTTTTTCATAGATTCTCTCACAAACTCTGATCGAGTGATCTACTTTCAGTTTCAGATGTTCAGATAAACCATGGAGTTAACTTGATCTATTATTCACATGATTCATAGTCCATCCCGTGTTGTTTTGCGCGGTAAGTCTTGTCATTATTTTGTTGACAGAATATTTTATCAATAGCTTCCTTCACAATCTCTACTCTAGTCCACTTTCACTATTTATTTTTTTTTCACATTGTAAAGTTACATTGTATAGCAGGTTCTTGTGTGAAGATGATGATTAACGGGTGCATGAAGATGATGATTAACGAAATAACAGTTCAATCAATCTGGAGCAATAGAGAGTATACTTCAATTAGATGGAGAAGTCCAAGTTATGTATTTGTTTATGATATTGTAACTGAAATTGTACATTTTTTTTCCAGAAGTTCACCTTTTCATGTAAGATGTAAATTACCATTCAGTGAGTGAAATGTGTGATTTTTCGACAAGTCCCTCCCTGTTTTTTTATTTATAATGCTAAAGTGTGATGCAGTCTGATGTTCTCCAAATAAAATTGTGGATGCCAGAATTGAGGAGGTTTGTTTCTGTATCTAAGAAATTTATATGTAGAGACGGTCCGAAGCCGTGTCTAGTGTATTTATTATGATATTTCTACAAAATATGGAAAATATATGTAGAGACGGTTTTTCCGTCTCTATGGACCGTCTCTACCTAGTAGACATGGCTAGCAAAACCGTCTCTTGTTTATTGAGACGGGAGCAATGGCAACGCCTCAGAGACGGTTCACAGGGCCGTCTCTAGTACACCTAGAGACGGGCAAAACCGTCTCTACAAGAGAAGAAAACCGTCTCTACACAGGGCCGTCTCTAGTACACCTAGAGACGGGCAAAACCGTCTCTACAAGAGAAGAAAACCGTCTCTACATCCTGTTTCTGCTGTAGTGTCCTTCTCATTTTAAGTAAAGACATGGGATTCTGTGTACAATATTTTACTGTCCGTCTTATTTAAATTTTTATATAATTAGTATTTTTATTGATATTAGATGATAAAACATGAATAATACATTTATTTTTAAAATTTTTTAAAATTTTTTTAAATAAGACAGACGATCAAATGTTAAACATGGAAACTCATGACTCACGACTGTATTTAAAATGAGATGGGATGGAGAGAGTATTACTACAATGGAGTAGTACTTTGGTTCTTAATATTATGCTTTATTTGTATCCATTTTGTTGGAATGAGCTCAGAACTCAAGAAGAGCTTTTTGTTACTAGTACAAGAATAGCAGTGCTAAGAATATTTATATTTGTTGTGGACGGGGGAATAATAAATTTTACGATGAATATATAGTTTGGTGATAATTTTCGAAAATAAATGTTTTTTTGTGCAAAATTTTAGGCAATGAAAGTTTCTTTCTGCAAAATTGAACGCTATACCTTTCTTTTTTTTTTGTCTGAAGTCCCTACTCTTTACTGAGCTGCAGAGAACTACAGTTATTCTTCATCATGCTGAGGTTTGGTGAAATCTTGAAAGCAAGCTGACTTGGATCAAAGATAGGCATGTCTTTTGGGGTGTGCAGAAAGAACCAAGGAAAAAAAAACAGGAGCCAGACCAAAGTATCCGATCTATTTTTCGTTATTTCGGTCGTGTTCCTCAGGTACCTGAGCAAACCGATTATTACGGCCAAACTTAAGTCCACCTTCGCTACGACAGGTCACAGGAGAGTCCAGCAGACTCAAGTTCCCATTAAGGGCTCCTTTATTCAAAGGATTGGTATAGGATCTTTTAGGATTCACAATCCTATGGATTATTTCTTATGGAGGCCTTTGATTCATAGGAAATGAAAGAAAACATTCCTAAGGATTGCATCCCTTTAGTTCATTTTCACAGGAAAAAAAGAAAGAGGTCTGACCTCTTTGGAAAAGAAATCCTGTGTTTTTTCCTATAGCACTATCAAAGGGCACATTTCATTTTTTCCTATGTTTTTTATTCCCACGGGATTGAAGAATCATACTACTTCAATTCCTATGTTTTTCCTATCCTGCGAATGAAAGGGGCCCTAAGTAGGGATGGCAATAGATCAAGTTTGGTTCGGGTGGAGTAAGAATATACCCAACCCAAGACGACAAAGTTCTCGCCCACCCATGCCCAATGCTTTCATCGTAAAATAAAATCCATGTCAATACCCGTCATGTATCGGGTATCCATGGATTTTTCAACAACATGATGTGATATATCAATTGATACATATATATCTAAACTATCACAATTAGACATCTATGTTTACTCAATAAGTATAATCACAAAGTATTAAATACGGACCAAAATCCATAAATTCTACAATTACAAATTATTTCATCACCAAGAAAAAAAAAGACAAATGACTAAGCTAGAGTGATATATGACTTTGTTGCACTTACACAGCTAGTATGTTTTAGTTAGTATTGACACTTTAAAAAAAAATCATGTATGAATAGAAATATTTGGGTACACATGCCCATACCCATCGGGTGTGGTACCAGCGAATGCCCGCACCCACGGGTAAAATTGCCATCCCCTACACTAGAGTCTGCCTACGCGGGAGTGTTCGGTCAAGTTAGCTAAGACTGGATACACCGTCATATCGGTTAACCAATTGTCGGTTCAAGAAATCTTATTGACCGAAATTATGAAGATTGAGATATCGGGTCTGAATCTTCAGAGAAGATCGAGTACATGCCATGTAATCATATTTTCTTTGCCTGTAACCAAGAAGGTAAATGGGCATTGTGATGCTTGTTGACATTGAGATAGACAAAACACCAAAGCACTACAACGTGTGGATTGCAATTAGATCAACTCGTAACGCTTCTTGAGAAAACCGATTACGGATTACCCTGTTTTGGAAACCAGAGTACCTGTTCTCACATAATCGTCTTGAAGACCTACGAACCCCCGCTCAGGAGGAACCCCGTTAGGGTAGGTGCACCTAGGCTTGCTCTAGAATCGGCAGGGCACCTAGAGTGTCTTCAATTGCTATAGAGACGAAGGTAGAATATTAATTAGGGTTTGGAAATGTAAAAGGCAAAGAAATAAAGAGATAAAATGTTTCTCATACCATAAAGTTTTCCTTTGAATATCCAAAACCGGACCATACAATTTGGATCAAGCTCCTCCACCTTCAAAAGCATTTGGCTTTGTCACTGATATACTGATATGTGGACCCGATAAACCTTGGACTTATATATCAATGATAAAGATATGGTATCTTTGAAAATAGAGGATCTAACAGGGAAAAGGGAGTATCCGATTTTATGAGCCGGTTCTAGCTTCTAGGGGTCAACAATGCTCTAC